AAGATAAATAAAAAATAAAATATGTATGTATGTATGCATGCATGTATGCATTTTTGTGTTTCTCTAGTTCTGTCTTTCTGTTTTTATTTCTTTCTATTTACCTAGCCTGAAGACGCAACTAGTGGTGAGACTGGTTCTGCAGATTACTTTCTGGAACGAAGCTTCCGCTTCGAAGGATGCGATGGCTGGCCTTAATGCATGGGAAAGGAGCCCTCCAAGGGTGCATTAGGGGCCCCAAGCCCCTTTTTAACGACCACTGCCACTCCACGATGGGCCTGTCGAACGGCCTTGGAAGAGGGCGGAAGAGAATTCAATGAGGACCATCTTTCAGAGGATCTCTTTCTCTCTTTGCGCCTGGAATACTATTCACTCACAAGTGGGGCCTTTACCACTTGCTTCAGTTTCCAAGTCCCCAAAATGCTACATGTTGGGTAAGGGTTATCTTGGAGAGGTTCCCGAACAGACGGTTTGAGGCAAGGTAAGGATGAGGGTCGAGGCTGAGGTCATGTCATTGGTGCGGGCTTCAACCTGATAGCCTAGCAACCTATTAATTAGTAACCACACGTCGCGTGAAGGCCCACATAGTCGTTTGTGCTGCTGTGCAGTTCGGATTTACTGTAGTAGTAATATGAATGAGTGATATAGATATAAAAAAATTAATTAAAGATAAAAGGGGAAAGGAAATATACAAAGACTTGCAGTGGCCAGCCTATGTTATAGTCAGTGCCCTTTACCCTTCCAGACGATTCCGGTACCAAATAGCCAACTAAGGAGGGATGGAAGGCTGGTTTGGCCCACTCAAACATCGATCCAGGATTTGCACCCGTGGTCATACGTGTGAGATTAGTGCGCTTTTTACCACTACGCCACTTCCCACTACACCTCACTTGATATCCAGAACCGTTAATATCTCTTAGACCAGTGAGAAATTCCTGAAAAAGGTGCTGGATAGCTGAAGAAATCTTCATAAACGGAAATTGAATTAGGTATCCGTTCTACTGTATTGACAAATAACTGGTAAAAACACTCAAAACACAAGTGGGAAACGCGAAACTGTTCAGAAGAACTGCTAACTCACCGCAAGTAGGCGATTCTGCGGCATCGTCCGTTACGGGAAGCACCGCTTCAGTGACGTTCAGTGCCGGCATCTGAAAACGTAGAGATGATTTTGCAATTTCAAACAGATCGAAAAGCTATTTCAGTCATCAAAGTATCGCAAAAACAGAAAAATCTACTGCGGAAAGGAAACAGGAGGAGCAGAAGAATGAAAACGACCAAAACTGACTGAAAAAGGGGGAGGAAAAAACCTCAAATCTAAGTTGTTGGGAGGGGTCAAAAATGAGATATCGAAGTGAGCCATAGAGACGACGATAGTCCGGTAGATAAGAAACGGTTCGATGAGTCTTTTGAATAATTGGAAAAGGATTGATGTTAGAAGATTGCTCGGTCAATGAGAGCGGTACAAACAGTAAAACGTAATCTTCATTACCCCTGCGAGTTTCGGCAATTTTTTCATGGGGAGTAAGCGGTAGCTCTCGACTTTTTCTGATTTTTTTATGGGAAACACAGGACGATTATGACCCCCCACCCACTCCCCAGGACTTAGAGATAGGTAAACTCGACCGCGCACGTGATGAATCTCCGTGGCAACCTACGTAGCTACTAGTATCAACATTCACATTCTTGATCTTCTTATCGTGGGCACGTTCTTGTAATGATCATTAAGAAGAGAACAAATTCATCAACAGTTGTCGCAGAAACAAACAGAATCGTAAACAGTACCAGTCATTACTCCGAAAAAATAAACTAAAAGGCTTCATTTAACTAACATGGGTGAATGTCACGACGATGTATTTGAGGGTCACAAAGCAGCGTTTTTCAGCCACCAAGACGGGGTGTATAAATTTTCAATGCACCAATTAATCGACTTTAAAGTGATAGAATGCTCGTGTCGAGAAATCTTCGAGAATGGAATGTTGAATCTTTCGAACCACCGATCGCGAAACCTAGTCGAGCAATGCAAGGAAGTGAATGGTGTAGGCGAGGGTGTCATTTCGTTTCCCACAGTTGTGTGAGACCGATTGTCGGCATAAATAAACATCCCATTCATTCCGCATTCATCTTTCTTACGTAGCTGAATGTGTGAAGAGAGTGCTTGAGCTTGAGTTTGCTATCTCGTATATCGACTGGACCCTTCACAACAATGTATGGGTTGTGAATCCATTCAAATGTTGCTACGCTTTCTCGCGAAGTCGATGCGTGGCGCATCCTCTGGGAGCTAGAGAGATTGTGGAACCTTTCTACAGGTCGAATGGCAAAGAACTCATGAATGAGTCTGAGTAGTACAATCGATTCAAATACGATGGGTAGCACTATCCGAACAAGCGAGCAAACACAAAACGTGCTGATAAACAAACAAAAACAATGGTAGGAGCTCAGTCGCAAGACATGGTCATTTGGTCTGATTTCTATAAATCATAAATGCAGAGGCTGAGTACGGTATGGGCTTTTCCTCAGGATGTTCGAGAAGGGGCCGTCTTGAAAGGGAAATCGACATGAGAAAGTAGGGGACTTGTAACGAGACGACTATATCAACACTGTATGATAAGGGATCAGGAACGAGCTATGAAGGAGAACGAGTTTGGTAGCAAACAACTAAAGGATTCTGCGCTCTGTGTCAACCAATATCTAGAAGATGCGCCATGCATTCAGCTATGATTAAGCAAGCAAATATCATTGGATAGGTATTCGGCCTGTAGTATGACTTGATCTTTCAGGAATCTCTATCGACATTCATTCATGAACAATCCAGACAACAATAGAGGATATCGGGCTTTG